TTTTGAAGATTTGTGTGAGACTCCAGAAGTCTTTGGGACATGTTAGATTTAAATATGATCTGGGAGTGCTTGTTACCCCTCATGGTAAAGGACTCGATGTCCTTAGACACACCACAGCAAGACAGAAAGACGGAGACAGAGGAAGATAAAACGAGGAAGAGCAAGTGGAAGATTAGAGTAGCAGAGAGAAAATCAGAGAGTGCTGGAAAAAGGAAAAAAAAGAGTGAAAAAGAAAGTTGAAAGAGAAAGATAACACTCAATAGAATATTCATGAACGTTGCCTCATATTCATTCATGCTCTGCTGCTGGTGATGATGGGACCTTGACACCAGAGCCCCTGCTTTCTGATAAGCATGCTTTCACATCCTCCCACCCACCCCATAGCTCCCGCATGGCCCCCTGCATCCTGGCCCCCTGCACCCAGCTAATCCTCAACCTCCGTTTGGATCCCCGGCTATAGGGACCAAACCATCTTCTTCCCCAGAAGCCTCCGAGGCTCCTGAGCGGTAGTACTTACTGTGTAACATGATCAGGCTGGAGCAGAGCCCTCAACCACCGAGGACAGCTTGCTGTGGAGATAATTTGGACTGAAGAAAAGTCACATTTGTCACTCTTTACATGACTGGCTGGATCATGGTGTGCACGCAAAGAGAAGTGGATAAAACACACCAGTAAACCAGAGGAAACCATGACCTAACTATGTGTATAAACCACAAGAGTACTTACTGCAGTGGCAGAGATAATGTTTTTTGGTTTTTATTGTCATGAATATTTGTTGTTGTTTGCTTATGCTGTTTTTTTTAACAGGAATTCAATTATGTACGCATTTGTGTGTGGTCGTGGGGATGCCTTGGTGTTTTTATACAGAAGGTTAATGTGCTTTGCCCTTTGACTGTCTCCATTCTCCCTAACCTCTTGCAATGTGAAGTTTCCATATCAGCATCATCTTGAAAACAGAAGCTAGAGTCAATATTCCACAAAAGTTATTCCAGAAATTTGCTGGCGCAGGGCTCTTTCTCTAGGGACAAAAGCAGCCACATTCTCATATGCAGGATGCAAAAGGTTACCCTGATCTCAGCTACCAAGATGACCCCCATCTTTGGCATTGCAATAGAGTCAAGGTTGTTTTTTAATGAAAATCATAGCATAAAAAGAAAGAAAAAATCAGCTCTGCTTCCTTTGAAGAAATTCCTGTTATGGTGATGTCACTGGTGTCAGTTTCATTGATGGTGCTTTGGTGGAGGTATAGACTGTGTAATGTACAGTGTAAAATAAAAACAGCCTACATGCACATAGGTTCAAGAATATTACACAGAATACAATCACATTTCAAACACCAGGCTGATTTTACAAGAGCATACTGTCAGCAAACAGTTTTTGCAAGCAGTATCCTATAAAACATACTGACATAAGCAAGGCAACACACATCTATAGGCCTGTGGCAATAATTGGACAGAGTACAAAATAAGAGAGGCAGCAGGTTTCCAAAATGTTATGTTCTTGTATATTTTATAACTAATGAGAGGCTTTGGTTTGGGTGCTGAGACAACTCCTTTGGGTGCTTAAGTGGGGACCAACATTTTCCCAGTGTTCCTTATAATGTGTAATTCATTCAGTTTAATAACTATTCAACATGTTTTAAAATCCTTCATTTAGGCACCCTGATAATTCAGATGCTCTTCTTCTGTTGAGTTCCTATTTGGGCCCAGTATCCCTGGGAATTATGTCCATATTGGATCATTACACGCCTCACAATTTACGTCAAATCCCAACATTGAATGCCAGCGCAGAAAGCAGCGTGGCCCTTATATAGTGACGTGACAGGGTGTGGAGCACAACATTCAGAAGACAGATTATTATTCACTTTTTTACTAACCACAATCTTTCCCTCTAACACTCACCACACCCTAACCACAATTTGCTTCCATCACTGTTTTCGACCAGTTCTTTCATCTGTGTAATAAAAAAAAAGGTTGTTGCATGGGGCATGACTAACTTTAAGATGTGACAAGTAACAACTCCCATTGCACCATAAGTCAGGGAAAGGGTTATGTGTTGTTTTGATTTGATTTGATTTGTTGCTCCTCACATGCACCAGTGGCTTTTCAGTCTATCTGGAATGTGAGGAAGTCTGGAAGGTGACTGGTTAACACTTTTTTCATACAGAAGAGCTATATTTGTGTCAATACCAAAACCACTGCCTTACCTGTATTATTGAACCCCAGTACAATGTTGCAGGTGCTACTTGTGAAAAAGGCCTAAGTAGACACTCTTCCAATAAATGACATCTGCCTCTAGTTAGCTCCTCTTACAGCACACTATTCTATTCAACATCGCTCTCTTTCATACCCATTTTATGTCTGACTCCGGCATTCACTCTTATTCAGTTCCTCTCTGCTTTCCATGCTGCCAGCACCATTCATGCTGCTTCGTGTACATGTGTAACCATGGCGACTGGCGAGTAGAGCTGTATAGCATAATTCAACTTTTTGTTGTAGCAATGTGTCTACAATTATTTGCTAAACTGATCTTTACACAACCCTATACTATCTACCTGAGCCAGCTATAGTAAACATAATTTCTTCCACAAACAAACACACACACATACACACACACAGCTACACTCACCACATTTTCTATTTTGTACATTACTCAATTTTACCCTCAGTTCTCACTTGCAATATAAGTCTGATCTAAAATATATAATAATAATGGTATAGGCTTTATGTCCAGTTGACATACAGCTGACCACAAGAACTCAATTGAGATTACAGCCCGTGCAACAGATGTAATTGATTCGCGTTGCACCTTTGAACAACATCACAACCACCACAAATTCAGACTTGTGAGTGGGTATATCAATTTATCAAACTCAGACGTCTGTGCAGGCTCCTCAGGCTAAAACCTCCCTGTAATATGCCACCTTTTACAACCACCTGATATGACTCTTCTGTGTTGACATGCATCTGAGGTGTCAGGGTTTCTCCCTCATTTAAGCTCCATGTCTGACAGGAGTCCTCCCTTCACTCATCATCTGTCTCCCTCAATGAAGTTCATGTGATTGCAGGCAAACCGGCCCATTGCTGCTGAGGCTGATTAAAGCGGCATCAAAGTCTCAGTCTCTGGCTTTGAATACATCACATGTCAGCTTATATGAGAGTATTGAATAATAACCCTAGCTTAAACGTCCCTCTTCAATCTAAGATTCAAAATGCATCCTTACCAACAACATCCTCTTTTGGAAATATAATCTCCCTTAGTCCAACCCAATTAATTTCTCCTTTTAAACTTTGTAAAAAGTTTCTTAGCTAGTTTGTATTCCAACACCATTCATTAGCTGGATCGAGTGGTTTGAAAACACTCTTCTTTTAATTGTTTCTATTTGATTCCTACAAATAAGGGCCTGTAATTAAAAGGGAAACAGGCAGAGAGGAGATAAATGGGGGGTTAAACTGCCAAAGTAATCCAAAGTAAAGGAAGTAAAGGCGAGAAAGAGACTTCCAGACCTTTTAGCTGATATTAACTTTGTTTCTTCAAAACTACACAATAATGACTTGCATGCATACATGAAATTTATGCACATAATTCCACATTCTTCCTTACAGAAATATTGTGGGGAGAGTAATTCACTAAGACTGAATGCATTTTAGCAGGGCATTGAAACAACAACATCATATATGTTCTTTCTTTCCCCTTTAGCCTGGAAATAACCCATCACCCAAACCTTTCCACTTGGACAGCAAAGTTGGATACTGCCTATGATCATCAAGCTGTACATGAACTGTTGCACCTACAGCAAAAAACTGGAACTATTCACTAGAACCATATTTTAATCCTCTTTTATCGCTCTGTATTTCTGCAGTAACTGAGTATAATACAGTTTTTAAATCTGACATCACTATCGTTGGGCAGTGTGCCACCAGCGCAGGTCCATTTTCCATGTTACATAGATAACCATGTTCACACAGTGACAATATCCTGTTACACATATTTTTGCCCACTACCATCAAAGCGGCATTATCTCTCCGTTGACCCACAGGCTGACCCACTCCGTTAACGGGTTATGCTGAAAAAGTGCTGAGTGGCCGTTTCCTACAAATGGGATTTCCTTATCTCCAGTCTGTGAGTATTCTGTCAGCAGCAATAGATGACTCTCTCCATTTTGTGCTGTAATTCATTTCCGAGCTTTCTCTTTACCTCACATTCTTCCTCTCTGACAGGTGAGATAGATAAAACGGTGTGCGGCAGTTGTTTGCTGATGGCTGTTGAGGATCTCGACTTCACAAGGACAGATCATGTAAATGCGACAAGCCTTTCCGTTGAGCTCTTAAAAAGCAAAGTAGGAAACCGCAATGAGGATTACAGAGAGCATCCAAATTTGATTTTATAATTAAAAATTGATACACACTCTCAATTATTTAACATGCAAATGAGGAAGATAATTTTTAATTTTTTAATTCCGAAAGAGCCTCTGCAGTGCTATCAGATCAACTGATTTATGCTTGTATGCTAATCTGCTGTGTTTATAATCTTACATTTGCATTCTGCAAGAATTTTACTCAAGTACCACACACACACACACACACACACACACACACACACACACACACACACACACACACACACACACACACACACACACACACACACACACACACACACACACACACACACACACACAGAGTTATTGGCTTCAGTATGGTGGTCTGTTGGTGAAGCCTCTGGGCCTTGTGCCAGCAGAGTGTCTTCTCATTATCTCCAGTTACACAAATGCTGGGGAACTGGTGAAAAAAATCTTAATTCATTGCAACAGTTGTAAATGACGGGTGAAGTCAGGACTCTGCACAAACACCAGCAGCCAGCACAGAATGGCAGAATGGACGCCGATGCTGGCTGTGGTGAATGTCATTTTTTCTTTCTCAGAACCTTCTTGACAACTTTTGCATTCACAAACCATCTGTTCTGGGAAATATCTGTCTGAAAAAGAGGAAGCCGAAGACTGCCGGTTTGAGATTTTATTTTTTCAAGCCAGACAACAGGAAACCTTGAGGATGGATGAAGCATATAACACAGCAAACAAAGGATTTGTCCTTGTTTTGAGGCTGACAAGAAGAAAAAAAAAAAGAAGTCGTCATGGATGAACACGGAGTGCTTTAATAGGTTCTTGATAATTCTGTTCTTTCCTCACTCATGTCCTTGGCAGTATTTTGCAGTTAATCATGTTGACACTCCTCTTGCTTCCCAGGTAGCAGCAGACAAGAGCCCCCTTTGCTAAAGTTGTCGGTCAAGGTCATTAGTGAGTCATTACAGCCTCCTCTTCACACATTTTTCAACACTTTAATGATGCGTGCATACACCTGCCAACAGACAGAGAGAGAAGAGTGAAAAATCATCCGTCTCTTTCTGACCTCCTCCCATGCTCTCGCTCTTTTAACTCCCCATCCCCACCCATCTATTAACACCACCTCTCTGCTCTGTAATGTTGACTAGGTGCAATATCTCTCCTCTCCTCCTTGACATTGATTCCAGTGATTTAAATCCTCCAACTCATGACACAAATTACCTGTAATTTACAGCCACCCCTCCATTTCACTCATAATATGCTCCGGTGAGAATTCAATGTTCCTTCTGTCTCGTTGTCTTGTTTTTTTTTTCCTCCACCCTGTTCCTTGCTCTTTGTTCTTTTAACCCCCCCCCTCTTTCAGTCTCCTTGCAGTCACACCTTAACTGCATTACGATTTATAGCCTCGACTGTTCCTCGTAGCAAAAAAGAAAGCCTATGCAAGCACAGAGTGAACTCTGATAAAGTCTAACACCTTCCCTTTGAATGGGTGCTAGGATGTAAAGTTAGAAAATGAAGTCTCAGCCTTGCCACTTAAATGGACAAAAGCTGGATCCATCAATACTCCGCAAAAGATAATGTTGGCATACATCACAAGAAAGGCCTATTTTACTGTAATACCGAAGGTATTTGTTCAGTCTCTGGTTGGAAAGACTCCCTAAATTGACCAGCTTCTCCTCAAAGACTCTTCAACAGGAGAGAAAATGTTTCAACTTGGCACTTGCTGAGGGATGCTGTCAAGTTTTTTTTTTTTTTTTTTGGGGGGGGGGGTTTAAATCCTTTTTCTGTCATTTTCTGAAAAGTTAAAAGCAATGCGCTGGTTGATTCAATGTGTGACAGCATAAATCCTGTCTATTGTTTCCCCCAAGGAGAACATTTAAGAGTACATCAAAAAGCATCACATCAGACGCACTTTTTCTCAAACTAGGAGCTCTCTTGGAAAGGAAAAAGGGGGTTGGACTGTGTTACAAACCAGTGAGTGGAAAATGTCCTTTGTCATTTTAGTGTCTGCAGGTAGAAGCCTTGCAGATATGGCACTTCAAGAATGGAGGTTCCAATCACCTCTGAAATGGAATTATGGAGCACTTCACAGCTCAGTGGCATTTGAACGCTTTCAGCAATATGCTATGAAGGGGAGGAGGCTTAGACAGCCAGAAAATGATACAGACACCTGGACTACAGAGAAACTGAAGAATGCACATTAAGTATTCTTCCTACCTTTTCTTTGTATTGAATCCACTCTTCTCTGTCTGTCGCTCTTCTTTTTGTCTTCTCATTTTGCTTCTGTTTCACCAAATTGCAGTGTCTCTAACCTAGAGTATGATTGAGACCTTATGAGCTTCAAAGTTATGCTGTCGATAGTGGGCTGAGGGAGGTGAATACAGATATTTGGGGAAAAACTGAGGAAAGAAACTTTGATGGAGTGTATGGATTTGTTTGTCTAGGCAACTATTGTGAGTCTGTAAAACAAACTTTTCTTGTCAGCAACTGAATATTATATTGAAAATTGAAAAACATGTCTTCCTTTGACTATAAATATTCTCAAGGCAATGACAGTTGTCTGACCTTCAAGTACTGATTAAAAGAAAATATGTCTCCTTGGAGAATAAAAAACTTACAGCGCAGAGATGGAGACACAGCAGAGATGATCAGGTATGATCAAAGATGAGCAGAAGATAAGAGAAATGTTAAAACAAACTATCCATCAGTGTTACAGACTGGGAATGATATACTGAATCTAACGGCTCTATTTAAATGATAATGAAACTGGAAACTGTGGTCCAGCTTGGCTCAGAAAGTCCACAATAACAATGTCAAGCGAATTTAACACAATCACATTAAACTCGTGTGCCAGTAAACAAAATGCTTGACATTTCTATTTTCATTTTATGTTGACCTGTAATATCCTGCCAAACAACATAATGAAGAAAAAAGACAAAAGAGGCTACATTATGTGTGTATTTAGTCAATGCAGACCTTATTTAAGACAGTAGAAATATGCGAAAACACTAAAACATTTTTCTCATTAAAATTTCATCAGAGCGATATCTTTTAATTTTCGTCTAATTTCCTTTTTTAATTATTTTTTTTACCCATAAAAGTTGTTTTTGGCTTATTAAGATTGATTTGATGTATAGTTCTGTACAGTTAGAAGCATTAAAGTGATGGAACATTTCAGATCAATAGCTGGCTGACCTGCACTTTCATTGTACTTAAAATATGGCAGCAATACTAAAGATCAGGATTTCATCTTTTATGTCTGACAACTCAAATTGCTTTCTGCTTGAATAGTGGTTGATTGAATTGCTGATGTGTTGTGTGTGTGTGTGTGTGTGTGTGTGTGTGTGTGTGTGTGTGTGCTCTAAGTGTAAAGGAGAATGATAGAGTTGGCATGTTTATTGTTATTGTGAGACTTTGGTTTCTTCACACACAACACACAGACACACACACAAGACACAACTTTAATCTACATCGAACAGTTTGCTCCTGCCTGATATCGTTATGCTTTACAACCAGCAATCAATCCGTGGAGAGCCCAAGCCGGTTCCAGCAGCAAAGGGATTAAAGTGACCGTCCAATTTAAGGTTTAGTATTCCACTGCCGTGGCCAAAAGTAACAGCTCAATGCCAAAGTATTTTTATTTGACCTTTCTACGATATCTGTTTCCAAATGAGCCATAACCTATTTCCAAAATCATTCCTCTGTAAGTCATAATATCTCCTACTGCTGCTGATCTAGAAGTTAAACCAACCCTCATGCTCTCACTTACTTTCTTGGTCTGTCCTTACTTTTCGCTCGCAGATGTCTCATCCAAAACAAGCATCAGCTGTTGAATTCCACCCTCGTTCCTTCAACCTTTCAGCGTAGGAGGGATGGAGGAGGCAGCAAGTCTCCTTAGAGTTTACTCATCCAAACCTTGTCCCAACTTTGTGCTTCGGCTGTTCTCTACTTCGCCCCTGGCTGACTCCACGAGGAGATTTTAATTACTCAGACTCGTGGTAAGGCATGTGGTGACCCATCACGAGGACTTAATGAGTGAGGAGAGGGTGAATGAGGTATGAGAAGGTTTCGGGGTTATGGGGGTGTCGTCCAGTGAGAGTGGAGGAGTCAGAGGGTGAACTAAGCCAATGAGCTGAGCTGAAACTTCACCAGCAGCTGCTGTGGATGCAGAAGACTGTGCTGTAGATCCACAGAGATGCATTGTAAATCCAGCAGGCAGAGCTGGGTCAGTTTTTTAATTATATGCAACAAAACTGGCAGGGTCTATTTTCAATTCAGTCAGGGACACTTATGTCAAGGAACTGAGCATTTTAAACATAGTTATACAGTTAGATTTGACATAAAATACTTTGGAGGGAGCTCTCAAAGAATCTGAGCTGCAACAAGGATTCTGCTGAGAGAGCTAATACCCTCCTTAACAAAGATAGAAAGGAATATGAATCATAGTTATAACAATAGGCATAAAGACAGCACATAAGGAGATTTTTGTGGTGGAGCGAGCAGGGGCAGCAATGGCCTTGGCATGAGTGTCTCAGCATAATTAGAGTGAGCAGATATCAAATGATAAATTTTGTAATCTATACGCACACACATGCACCTATGTTAACCATGGCAACCCTGGAAACCACTGCGACCTGGGAAGGAGAACAGGCTGTGAAGTGTATGGAAGAAACTACGGTGGCCGTGAAACTCACAAATAATATCAATAAGCAGTATCTAGTATCATTTAGTTTGTCCATTTTGGACTACTATAGAAAAATTGTGCTTCAACCTGACGGACTCCATTAAGGCAACCCACGGCGTCTGTAGATAAAAACGTCATTCTAAGGTAACGCAACCATTCATATATTCAGGTGATTAATAAAAACAAAACATACCTATGAATATTATATTCCATTTCTGTCGATATATTACTCCTAAATGTCACACACTGGAATAAATTGTGGTTGTGATACATATTTCTCAAAGATACCCGACATGCAGGAGATTACAGACTGGATCTCTGACAGATTTGATTATATACTGTATTTATTTTATGATATGATACAATATACATATCTGGATACAGATCCATAGACTTGTATACCACTGGATCCTTCCGAATAACAACCAACAAAAAAAATCAAAAAGGACCTTTTGTTTATTGATGTATGTTTGTGTATTGATTTCCCTTACCCCAAACCAAATAACAGATAGCAAAGACTCTCTTAATGATACCTTCAACAGCATGCAGGAAAACTGATCATTTAACCACTACAGTGTATTTGTGTTACTTCGATGATGAGTGGTTTGGTTTAACCTAGGCCAAGGCAGGGAATGAGAATAAGTACATGTGATTATACTCTTTTATGAAGTAGTCCAGTGAAAAGCATGACGACACATATGGACCAGTTAAACATCCATACTGTAACTTTATGCAAAGCAGCCAGACATAATATCTATTCTGAGGAAGCACAAAATGTTGAGCCAAGTTTTCAGTTGTCAGAATGGTAAATGATTCTGCCATAGTATAGAGTTCCATTATAGTTGTAATATCTGTTCCTGATGTCAAATCCAGAAAGGTAAGGGGGCCCTGCCATTACCCAAGGTGCACCTGACTTCATTGTCACCTCAGAAACACAAATTGGACATTTCTTCTCTAGAGAAACAAAAGAGAAGACACAGCAGGGCCCAATCAGGAGAATATAAAGTACCTTGACCAGAGATGGCATTTAAAGAGGTACTACACCCTAAAACGTAACATTAACATTGTTACTACATTTAGGAAAATCTGCATTTCGTGGGTTAAAAATGGCTCAACACCCCTTCTCTACTGTTTTAAACCAGCCTTTGGGGCGACTCTATGTCACAACATTTATATAAAAAAACGCCCTCTAATCAGAGGAGGGTGGCCCACTTCCCCCAGCCTCCGCTTTAAGTGGGACCACTGCACAGGTACGACACAGAAACTTTTCAAACAACTGTCGAAGTGCTTCAAGTGACTGTAAACTCCAGCGGAGTCTGTGAAGACATCTAATTTCTCTGTTGCTGCTCACATTAACAAAAACCTTGGACAGAGATTCTCAAATAGTTTCCAGCCAAGGACCCCTTACAAGGTAGAGAATATACCAGGGACCCCCTCATGTATGTATTTGAGAGTTTTTGGATTCCTTACCAATATATAATAATATTTTAGCCTCGCTAGTAGCATAGCTCTAAGGAATGTCATTCAGCTGGTCCAGTACTTGACCAAATATTTGCATCAGCCTCAGCTGTACTTTGTGTTAAATGTTAATTAGCAGGTGTTAGTATGCTAACACGCTAAACTAAGATGGTGTCATGGATATACCTGCTTAGCATTGTCACTGTGAGCATGTCAGCATGATCACTTTAGCATTTAGCTCAAAGCACCACTGTGCCTTAAAGCCTCACAGCCACTTGAACGTCTTGTTTGAATAGCAGCAGACCGGTGGTACTTTACACATGCTGCCTTCTGAATTTGGTTGTGTGCTTTCAAATTGCAGTATGTGTGGTTTCCTAGTAACGTATGACAGAGACTATAGATGCAAAACCAATCATACTTTATGCTCATTAGCTTTTCTGCTTACAAAACCTTAAAATTCCTGTTTGTGATTCCTGGGCTCCAGAGCCTTGTACTCTGTTATGTCTAGCTTGTAGAACAAGGTATTTGCATAGTATCAAAAAAAGCATTTATTTGCTTTTGTAGGAATGCTCTATACACGATGCAATTATCTATGCATAATTACCTCCCGCAATATGATGGATTTCACAGCTTGCATTTTACAGCGTGTGGGCTAATGCAAGTCGACAGGAACAATTCCTCTTCATTAGATGGTTCGAACATCCTCGGTGACACAAGGTGTCCATGTTCACACGAATGGAAAAAATACACGAACACCACTGCCATATGCACTCATCTTCTGTCTGCAGTCTTCATTAATACTGAGCAAGATATTCCAGTGTAGAGGCACCTTTTTCTAACCTGCCTGCAGTATCCATCCAAAACAGACTTCAGACTTTCATCAGAGAGACAGATGTTGGCAGGGAGCTTCTTTAATCCAATCACAGGGAAACATATTTGCCAAAATGTTTCATCAGTGTTACACGTTGGCAACAGCAACAACAAACCGTACTGTCATAGTAGAGGCATCTGTGAAGCTGCAGCAGCGGATACACTGCTCTCTGAAGATAAGTGATAGTCACAGTCCCTTTACAGAAGAAAAACACAGTCTGTTGGAAGTGTAGAGGTGTAACATGGAAAAACAGCTTGTAACATGCAGGGTTCTAGTTTAAATATGTGAACGTGTGTATGTGTAAGGTTTGTCCTTATTATGATTAATATTATTATTAATATTTTTAAATGGCACCTTGAAAGAATTGATCTGCTCTGCAGTTGGAATTAATCCCATTCAGGAAAACACAAGTTTGATAAAAATGTACCCGGGGATATCTTAATGCTGAAATCACTGACTCGGAAAAATAAAGCAGGAGTTCATTTACATGCAAAATCAACATTATGTGAGTGCTACATTAACTTTATATCTAATTAAAAGACATCACGCCGACATTACACCTACGCTACTGGTGTTCAACACCTCTATTTCCTATCCAAATCTGTGAGAGCTTGGTACGATCTTAGAGCTTTATGAAAAACTGTATGTGGGCATACGTACGTGTGTGGATTAGGACTGGATAGCACACAAAACCAGCACAGCTATACAGTATGTTCCCATAGGACCACTGCCAACTGCATCCATGGTGTGTGCATTTCTACTCATTTGTGTCTGAACAGGTGAGTTCAACATAACATGGCTGGTTATGTTCGAGCTCTTGAGGATAGTACTGTGTGCACTGTGAAATATATATATATATATATATATATTGTTTCTGAACCCTTTTTCCTTAGCTCATCCTTGCAGTGTGGAGACCATCTGGGGGCCTGTTGGTGGGTTGGTAATTGAGGATGTGGGGGTTAGAGACAAGGCCCCTTCGGAAATCCCCAGCAGATCAGCTATTATCCCGCACTGAGGATTGGGTAGCTGCTCCACTGCTGACATTTCCATTTATATCTGTCACATTTGGATCCCGAGTAACAGAAAGAAAACGAGACAGAGTGAGAAAGGAAGGAGGAGACAGTTGGTGTAAGACTTGTATATGGCTATAAACAAAAGTTTGGAGCATCTGTTCGTGTGCTACAACAATTGATTGGGGTCTTGGTATAAATGATTGCTGGTGGAGTGTGTTGGGGGCTCACAGAGATGAAGGTGTGAACTCAGTGAAGTCAACAGTAAGGGTGGCCCAGTGAGAAATGGGAAAGGAATTAATAGCCATGTATGTTGTTGTTGTTTTTCTTTTATTTAATGTGAAATAAAGTTGTTTTCTACAGAAAATATTTTTTCTCAAAAACCCATTGTCATATCAGATTTTCTTAAAATCTCTGCACTCATCTGAGCATACATTAGCTAAAGAGAAATAATCAGTCTATATCTATAATGCATTTAAATTAAATTGAACTGTATGAGTTCAATTAATAATTGCTGCGGTGATGCATAGGTAAGGGCATCGATTACATCCAAACTGAATTCAGCCACAAAAATGAAGATGGGCTAATTTGATATTTAAAATCTATTTTGATTGAAAAAGCTGCATCCTTCATGTACACAGTATGCTCCGACGGCCGCTAGACCGTTTCTGATTGTACTGAGATGTGACAAACAACTTTAGAATAATGACTGTAATGAAAGATGCTGTCTTATGTCGGTTTACAGCATTGATGCTTCAATAAGTTGTCAAGAAAAAAGCTGCTTCTGCGGCTAATGGAGTTGGATAATGTCCATTTATGTCTTAAGGTGTTCTATGCTTACAAATGCATTGCCCACTGTTCCTCTTTAAAGCCTCCTGTCAATTTTCCTACATTACCTCAGTGTATAATGTCTGTGCATTCACATAAAGTGCTCCCACAGAGACTTCTGACAGCATGATTTCTCCAATTTTATGTAAAATCCTTTTCTGTTGGCAAGATAATTGCGCGCATCAAGGTGACAAGCAATCGAGGAAAAAATTAAATGAAGGAAAAGGAAGAGAAATCTATATGCTGACATTAGCTTGAGATGGGCGTACCTTAATTCTTTTTTGAAAGTTGGACTAATCAATAAAAAAAAAAAATGTTTTTTACTTAACTACAGACACATGAATAACAAACCCCCTGCTAAGAATACACAAATATCTAAAGCATTTTTGCACTATAAAAAATATTTATAAATGGAGTGTTGGATTACATTTGACTTTAATACAACTTGTGTGACTTGGTCTTTGTTTGCAGTTCTCCCTTCAGTAATCTTAGCCCCTCTGGAGGTGAAAGGATAGAGGGAAGATCACTCCTCCCTCCCTAAGGAAGCAAAGGAGGTGAGAGGTCTCACACAGGTGAAAAAATACATCCAAACCAAAACAGCTGCAATTTATATGTGCCAGACACCCACAGGTCCTGAACGGGAGGATCTATCCACTTGTCTTAGAGTAAAAGGCCCATGGGATCAGCACAGTGGTAGGATGAATGAGGTGTTGTGCCTGACACCAAGAGATTCGAGTTAATAAATGGTGTGCTTGATCTGGGGCTGGCTGTGCAATTGTATTTGGACACTCTGATGAATTGGGGACCGGGAGCTGTCCTCACTTTTTTTCCTGAACAGAGGTGATAACTCATGTTGGAAAGCTTGTGTCGTCTTTGAACTGTAGGTTTTTCTGTCAGAACAGTAACAGAGAGCCCTCACACTGCTGACTGGAATACAGAGTGGTGTTCATTTGTCAATGAAGACTATGATGAAATACATTAATTGACAACTTTTGTTTTTGAACTTACTTTCAAAAAGGTATATCTGACAAAAACATGGTGTTTTCCAGAGAGTTATTTTGGTATTGCTACTTTAATTATGAATCACAGATGTATAATATAAAGAGTGAGGGTCATCTTTTATATTACATTCAATCAATTGAACAGTTTGTTTTTCTCTTTCAGAGAAATGTTAATGTTGTTGGATTAAATCAGATGACAATATAATTGGAAATCGTTATCATGGCTTCGTAGTTAAACAACCATCACAGTGCTGAATTAACAAATGACATTTTTATAATTGCATGTAAATTTGCTGCTGCCACATCCTGCCATGTTTTTGTTTTCTTTGATGTTGAAGTCCCATCTGCGGGCCCATTTCTAATGTCATGAAGATGTGACTTGTGGATTATTTTCTTAAGCAAATTCTGCAGGTTTGTACAGACTTGACTTACATACAAACAGACCACTTGCACTTTGTATAGTGGGACGGACCTGTGCCCTCACAGAGGTACTTTATCTCAAATGTGCATCAACCTCTGTGAGCCAGTAAGTGCGGGTACTGAGACTGGGTAACTCACTTGAATTGCATAGGATGGCCTCTGTATGAGGTTATTGCTTTAAGGCACATGCTAGGAGAGACCAGATTGGCCTCTGTTGCTTTACTGCCTCAAACAACAAACCACATGTCTGTTTCATTTCTCTCCAGCAGGGACAAGGTGTATGTGAAGGACAAGGTGTACTGATCCAGGTGTAGTCTCCACAAAGGAAATTAAAATAATAATAAATCAATGTGAGAATGTGCTAACATCATTGTTTCATATTTATAGTTGCAGTATGTGTCATCTCTGCATGGTTGGCAGAGAAAAAGATGGGAGGTCGGGCTGTTTCTTAAACTTTTGATTTCTGTCTACCTCATGATGGGGTAAATTGTCCAACTGTTCACTCATTATGAGTTTACATGCCACAGTATGAGCTTCAAACTGCATCCAAAGTTTTTGTATTAACCTTCAATGTTGCATAAGAAACACATCTATAATTTTGCCAAACCATGCAAAATCACATCTTTATCTTTGTATTCAGATGCAAGCCTCAACTGAGCTCTGTGCCCAGAATAGCTTGTGAATGGGTGCTAGACAGAACTCAGTATGACTATGGCTATGCCAAATTACTACTTGCTTACATGGAGACAAAACATGAAACAGTGCTGCTTGATTTGCGTGTGTGCGTCCTGTCTCATACTGGATGCATAATGCATCAAGGGCATGAATAATTTACATAAACAAGTGGAGGGAATCTGTTTGGTGCTCTACCAACCCTTCCTTCTCTACTTCCATCTAAAGGGCTGCTTTTTTTTCTTTTGTAAAAAACCAAAACAAACCTCCATATTGGAGAGACAGATGGCAGACAGGGTGAAACTGAGTCTCCTATCCAAAATCACACTGTGATGGAAATGGAGGTTGCCATGGAAATCAGGAAGTGGAGCAATTTGTTGGATTCCCCTGAGAGAGCGAGAGAGGGGTGGTGGTCACTTGGCGGACTCACACAAATTTATCCACATCTGTAAATATTTATAAATTATTGTATGGTTTTGAGACAAAAAAAGACAGGAGGAAATAGGACATTTCAGTCACAACATGGTAACAAGGTAAGAACAGGCTAGTCTGCTCATAATAATCAGGTTATGTCAGTGCAATCATTTCTCAGTAATAACAGGATAATAGTGTGAAATCTATTACTGGAGGTTGTAAAACATAGGTGGGGTAATACAAGCTGGCTAACAATAATGATACAATTGGTTTCATGCTTTCACAGTACTTAAAGAGTAATATCAGTGTAATATTTTTACATTCACAGGAAAACTGCTGTCAAAATGTGCACTGTGTTTTACAACACTGTCAGTTTCCTGCCTTAAAGGTCCTTCACTCTCACAAGACCTTGGTTTGCTTGGAAATTGAAATAATAACTTGTAAAGACAAAGCCCACATAGGAGGATGCTGGGACCAGCAGGTCATGCAGCCCTTCCTAAGCTCCACTCACAAAGCTGTTTTCTGTTCTATCCTGTGATGTTGATTTTCTATTCGTGCAGCAAGTCACGCTGAAACGTGACGATAGACTGTCAGGGGAGTTACAGTGGTAGTCATATTAGGTGTATTTTTAGTAGAGAACACGTAACACACATGTTGATTTCCCTCCCTCATCTGAAGTTCCATGTAAGTGCTGTAGTGTGGCTACCATTAAGAAAAAAACAAAGGCAGAAGAGGAGTGTTGAATATGTTCTGTTGCTAGGAAACTGAAACATCAATATGACGACACTGTGTTTCAACATATTCTGTATACAGACTGAAGGCTTTTGTTGATTTATTTTCATACCACTCCTGTTTATTTGATTACATTTAGCTAAAACAGTCACTGTGTAATGTCCCAAATTGGATATATTTTCATCTTAACTGTGTGATGATTAAATTGATTGCTGCAGCACAGCATTGTAATATCACTCTTAATTGTGTCACAGGTTTGGAAAATTTAGAGCAACAACAAAAACGTATTAAACTTGGAAATATCATCAATCATTATTTTCAAATCAAAGTTTTAGCTCCAGTATGACTTGTTGGCAATGTTTGAATATTAATGCTCCAGTCAACCCACACTTCATCCCACTTGTGTGAATATTTGCTTTAATGTTATAGTCTGTACCCTCTGTATATTTGCACTGCATGCAGTCTCTTTATTTAGTAACTATCAACATTATATTTTCACCACCCATATAGACAAGAGCCAAAACATGTGTTGTTCAACTGAAAAGGACTCACTTGAGCTCACATCAGCCCTCTTCAAGATGCCTGTGTTATTGTCGGTGTCATGAACCTGCTCACAGTTTGTGCAAAACAAGGGAGACCACACAGATAATTAAAGGGTTTAAGGCAAAATAAATTGAATTAACCAATGGTCATACTAAACAAAGTATACATAGATATCTGTACATCAGTGCTGTCAGTAGTGTGAGAGTGTGTGTGTGGATATGAGTGAAGTGTTATGTACAGAAAAAGGTAAAGGATTTATCAAACCAAAGACAGCAACAAACCCAGGACCTGCTGGCTGGAAGGAGAGCGAGATAACTGATCAACCCCCTATAAAGCCTTGTAATCAGGGAGGAATCAGGTGTAGCCCTTCTTATAGCCACACCCCTGCCACTCTGTCTCCTGTGAAGAACAAAAGGGAAAAAGACACAGACCAACCAGAGGGGGGAAGGGTCATCACAGTCGGCTATATATTTATCTGCGCTGCCTACCTTCATTATTAGCGGTTCCAAAATATGAGCACACAGGAAGCCATAGGCAGACCACATGCATAATACTCTGTAATATAAAAAGACAGAATGCATGTGGTTTGATCAGAACGCTGACTGCTTTGTCAAAATTAAAGGAAGACGTACTGTAAAAGGATGACAGTGACCTTCATGTGTTTCCAGTGCTTGTTTACCGCTTATGACTCACCAGTCATTCACAGCAGCGTCCTTGTGGACTATAATCCAACAATGAGAATATTTGTCTTATTATTCCTGTCTATATTTGTACTGTGGCAAATTTCCATGCAGGTAATAATATTTTAAGATTAACCCATTAATGTCCTGAGTGGAATTTAGTGGTAGGCTACTGTAATTACATTTACAGTATAGTACACTTAAAGAAGCAATATCATTGTAACCGGGTGGTAAATGAGATTTCCCACTTAGGTTAAAAGTAGTTCTCATGGTTCATAAATGTCAATATGTGCGTTTTTGTTCTTTTATTTTGTGTGTAACATCCTCTAAATGTGAGGAGTTAGAGTGTAAGTGCATTGGCACAGGGTATGCTGTTGTTGCAGATTATGGTCACAAGGCGGCAGTATTGAGTAATGTTATTGTTACCGCGCCAGGTGCATCATGGTCTCTCTTCCTGTTTTACGTGTGAACAATGTGGAGATAGTTAGCGTGGAGAGCAGTGTCGTGGGCTGTCGTATGAAGTAGTAGGTAACTGGACATATTTCTTGTAAAATATCCATGTATAAACATGTCAAAAACATTATTGATCGATATTTGAGTAAGATGGTTTGTTTTATGCACTGTTTGGGTTTGTGTCCTGCCGTTTTGAGCGCGTGTCCACGACAACCGTGTTGCTAATGTAAATGCTAATGTCCGAGTGAATAAAATCACACTATGCTTGTACTTTGTCATTAGAGAAAGGCACTGGTTTACGTTTTATTTAACTCTGTTTAAAGGTGACTGAGTGAGTGGTTTAACTTGTGCAATTCCCGTGAAGGTCCACGTTGGTTTGCAGAAACAAGGGAGAATGTAAGTGTCCTGTAAAAAATGTATTGTACTCTCCTTGTAACCTTTTGTGTGCATGGTGATGGTTTTTGATGTAACATATGTATTTGACAGGATGTATTTTCTGTTGTCTGTCATTAGCCATATGCCACTGCCGTATTTTCAATATTTTCAATATTTTCAGTATTTTCAGTATTTTGTTTATTTTGTATTTTGGAAATTTTGTAGCCATTAATTTGGTGCAAAGCTGCCACAAACTGTGCCACTGATAAAAGTGACCTGTTCAAATTTATGTCAGCAATAAACTTGCAGCCAAACGAACCCCAGAAGTAAATGTGTCCTGTGTGGCATCTAATTCCACGGGCTACACATTTTTGGTACCAGGAGTGGGGTTACATGCTAAGACATACTTTTTAAACTGGCAACAGAGTGGCATATTTTTATTTTTTTATTTGAGAAATACGGCAGTGGTGAAGACTGCAGGTGATGTCCAGTGTTTGAGTCCGAGAGGCCAGCCTGTGGTGGAAGCGGTGAACAGCGAGGGACAACCTGAGGGGCTCCAAGGTGTGCTGGTGCTTCCTGCTTAAAAGACTCATCCGTACCTGCGCAGAGGATTCAAGCACAAGCTTCCGCTGTAAAGAGTGAGATTCAACAAGGCTCCAGATATAGACTGTCTCCACAGTATCCTTGACCCACGACTTGGACTTCACATTTACATATATAGTGGACTGATTAGAGATATTTCATCATGTCTAGTGAATCTGGTGATGAAGGTCCTGCAAGTAATGGTAATGGTCAGTTAGGCCAGGCCTCCGGTGGGGCGGCAGGTACAAGTAGAGACACTACAGATGATATACAGGTGCAAATGCAAGAGCTCACTAGATTGCGAGATGAACTCACCAGGTTAAGTACTGAAGTGAGAACTCAGGGTAGACCCACACGTTCGTTCATTTACGTTCCAAGAGAACGCCAGATCCCAGCATTTAGTGGGGACTGTGGTAAAGATGGGAGATCTGTGGAAGAGTTCATTGATGAGGTTGAAAGGGTTTTGAGATCCAGAGAGCTAACAACAGATGAAAAATGTGACTACATACTGTCTCTGTTGCGTGGTCCGGCCTTAGAAGAGGTGCGACTGTGCATGGGGAGTCAGTCAGTGGGCCCCCATGATTTGTATTCTTACCTGAGAAATGCATTTGGCGAAAAACGCAGCACTACACAGCTTTTGCAGTCCTTTTACAACCGTAAACAAGCAGAGGGAGAGGACCTCCGTGACTACTCCCATGCACTCTCACAGATCTTAAGCTCCGTAGTGAAGCAGTCTTCAGATGTAATACCAAATGAGAAAACTGTTCTTAGGGATCAGTTTGTCGAAGGTTTACGGGATGCTGCCCTCCGGCGTGAACTCAGGAAGATGGCTAGGGACAAACCAGATTCCAGCCTTCTAGAGGTGAGGAACGAAGCTCTCTTGTGGGAAATGGAGGACAGCAGGTTCCATCGTCCCAGAGCTGTTAAGAGTAACCAAGTTAAGTCAGAGGTTTCAGAAACCCAGTGCTTCCCTGTTACAACTGACAATGGCCAATGTACTGTATTAGATGATGTTCAAAGGGCAGTAGCTCATCAGGAAAAGCAGCTAGCAGAGCTAAGCAAAACAATTAGCGAGCTAGCTGGTGCTGTTAGTGAACTGAGTAAGCGCAGCACTCAACAGATTTTCCCAGGACCCAAGCCAAGAGCTAGATCACAGCCAGAGTTCACACAGGATGGCCAGCCTATCTGTTTCAAATGTAGAGGCGTTGGGCACATTGCAAGACGGTGCCCACAGGCAAAAAGGGGGCACGATTGCTCAACACCAGGTCCCACTTTAGCACAGGAAAACTCCCACCCTCGGTTGTCATGAGCCAAACAACTCGGGGGGAGATAGCTGGCTCACCAAATGAGACTCCTGACAAAAGTAAAATCTTAGAGCGTGCAGTTGGAGAATGCAAGACAGTTGAGGTGAAACTCCGGGGTGTTACGGTATCATGCCTACTTGACACTGGTAGCATGGTCAGTACAATTTCAGTTTTTTCAGGGAACACCTGTCAGAAAAAGGGGAAGACATTCTTCCTGCATTTGAGTGGTTAAAGATTACTGCTGCAAATGGATTAGACTTACCGTATATGGGCTATGTGGAGCTTGATCTAGAAGCCATGGGCCTGACTATCCCAAAACGAGGTTTCCTGATAGTTAAAGATTCTGCGCACTCTTCTGCTGTTCCGGGTCTAATAGGGATGAATATTGTCAAAAAATACAAAGAACTAGTACACGCCGAGTTTGACACCACACTGCATGGTAAATGTGACTCCCATTGGAGAGAGGCTTTTCATCACCTTCAGACAGCAACTGTAACAGACAGGCTCTCTTTTGCTAGAGTAGCTGGTAAAGATATAGTTCATGTCCCTGCTTCATCTGCTGCTACAGTCATGGCTAGGGGACTTAGGACTGTGAGGGAAGGTGGCCCTTTGTTGTTATTGGAGCCTATCAGTGCACACATACCTGGCGGTTTGGTTGTTGTGCCGACTTTTTGTTTTGTCTGAGAGTCACGTTTTCCCAGTGCAGGTCATGAACCTGTCTGATGAAGACATCTGGCTGAGGCCAAGGACAAGGTTGGGGGTTTTAAATCACATAGACAGTGTGAAAAGTGATGAGGTTTGCGAGGTACAGTTCCAGAGAATCTCGGCAGACACTGAAGAAGTGCGTATTGACCAACATCCTGACGCATCCACCAATGTACAGCCCATCCTAGACCAGCTCAATGGATGTGGTAGCCCAGAACAACGCGCACAGCTGGCTCTGCTGCTGGAGAAGTACTCTTTTGTATTTGCAACAGAAGACGAAGATCTAGGGTACACTGACAAAGTGCAACATGAGATACATCTCACAGATGACATACCAGTGACACAGCCATACAGACGAATCCCACCCACACAGTACAGTGAAGTTCAGAGAACACATTGGCAAGTTATTGAAGAAGGGAGTCATCCAGGAGAGCTCTAGTGCTTATGCTTCGCCGATTGTGCTTGTGAGGAAGGCAGATGGTAGTCTGAGGCTATGTGTCGACTACAGAAAACTCAACTCAAAAACAAGACGTGATGCCTTTCCGCTCCCGAGGATTGATGAGAGCTTTGACGCTCTGAGAGGGGCAAAGTTCTTTTCAACCATTGATCTGGCGAGCGGGTACCACCAGGTAGCCATGCATGAGAGAGATAGGACTAAGACCGCTTTCACCACCCCCTTTGGGCTATATGAGTATGTGAGAATGCCTTTTGGTGTATGTAACGGACCAGCAACATTCCAGAGACTTATGCAAGTCACTATGAACGATCTCATTTTCCAGATACTCCTGGTTTACCTAGATGATATCTTGGTTTTTTCAGAGACATTTGAGCAGCATCTCGAAAGACTTGAGACTGTACTTAAGAGACTGTCAGACACGGGACTTAAGGTGAAGTTGCAGAAGTGTGCTTTCCTACAACAGTCAGTGAAGTTTCTGGGACATCAGGTGTCAGCAGAAGGTGTAGGAACGGACCCCTCCAAGGTCTCTGCTGTTAAAAACTGGAAGGTCCCAACAACTGGCAAAGAGCTGCAGTCATTTTTGGGGTTCTGTAGTTACTACAGGAGATTCATTCAAGGTTTCTCACAGATTGCCGGGCCACTACATGACCTAGTCAACAAATGTTCAGGTGTGAAGAAAACAGGAAAAGTAGGTCACCAATTTTGTACTATGTGGACTCCGGAGTGTGACTCTTCTTTTGAACAGTTAAAACAAAAACTTACCTCAGCTCCCATTTTGGGTTTTGCTGATTTCACACAACCCTTCATACTTGAGACAGATGCCAGTCAGCATGGATTAGGCGCTGTATTGTGTCAGCAGCAGGGCGACACCAAACGAGTCATAGCCTACGCTAGCCGCAGACTCTGCCAGGCTGAGAAAAATGACCGTAACTATAGTAGTATGAAGTTAGAGTTGCTTGCCTTAAAATGGGCAGTGGCTGAAAAATTCAGGGGTTACTTGCTTGGTTCAAAGTTTGTCATCTTGACTGACAACAACCCTCTCTGCCACCTCCAGACAGCTAAGTTAGGTGCTATAGAACAGAGGTGGGTGGCGCAACTGTCTGTCTTTGATTTTGAGGTTAAGTACCGTCCTGGTTCAAGCAACGCCGCTGCTGATGCACTCTCTAGGCAGGAGTTTGCAGGGGAGCCTGAAACTGACCCTGATTCGGATTTTGATAATTGCATTGCAGTCTGTAATCTGATTGAGCGAGGGACAGTTTTGGATCCTGGTCTTGTCAGTAAAGGTTTTGAGTGTGTCAAGGTGAGACAAATCCGTGCTGCGGAGTCGGGGTCTAGTGACTTAAGTGCAAAGCAAGGTAACACCCCCACACTGCCGGGTTATACCAGAGAGGAGCTGATAGGTTTTCAGAGCAATGATCCCACACTAAAAGCTTTCAGAACATTTTGGCGTCAGGGAAGAAGGCCAAGCCCCAGAGAGAGAGCAGCTCTGCCTAGCCAGGTAAAAAGACTGTTGAAACAGTGGAGCTGCATACAGCAAAGGGAAGGGTTGCTTTACAGAGTTATCACAGACTCACGTCATGGTGAAGTGTGGCAGTTACTCGTTCCTGGGTGTTTGAGGGATCAAGTTCTAGAGAATGTACACAACAACATGGGACATCAGGGCATAGAACGCACTGTAAACCTGCTAAGAGAGAGGTGTTTCTGGGTAGGGCTATGCGAGGATGTTGAGAACTGGGTTAAAAACTGTGAGCGGTGCGTTTTGACCAAGATGCCTCAGCCAAAAATCCATGCTCCAGTTCAAGCATTTTTGGCCTCCAGACCACTTGAAGTGGTGGCTGTTGATTTTACAATGTTGGAGTCAGCTTCTGATGGGCGTGAAAATGTCCTTGTTGTGACCGACGTGTTCACCAAGTTTACGCAAGCATATCCTACTAAAGACCAGAAAGCTGACACTACAGCTAAAGTTTTGCTCAGGGAGTGGTTCATGAAGTATGGGGTTCCTGAGAGGCTTCATTCGGACCAAGGCAGAAATTTTGAGAGTGAAGTTATAGCAGAACTGTGCAAGCTTTATGGGGTTAAAAAGACACGGACGACTCCTTACAGGCCGCAAGGAAATGCTCAGTGTGAAAGATACAACCGAACACTCCATGATTTGTTGAGGACACTTCCACCAGAGAAAAAAAAGCGTTGGCCAGAGCATCTTCCTGAACTGGTGTACGCCTATAATGTGACACCGCATTCCTCCACAGGGTACTCGCCCTATTATCTGCTTTTCGGGGTACAGCCACATCTCCCAGTTGATGCATTGCTAGGGCGTGAGTGTGTGTCAGACAGGAAACAGGACTGGTTGTCTGTTCATCAGGAGAGACTCAGGCAAGCCCATGAGAGAGCCAGGGAGTACTCAGAACAGAAGGCAGCTGAGAGAATTGCCCTGCAAAATGAGAAAGTGTATTGTCCCCCTGTAGACGTTGGTCAGTTGGTTTTCCTGCGCCACAGACCTTTAGGTCGACATAAGATTCAGGACGCATGGAGTCCCATAGTTTACAAGGTGGTTGATATCCAGGGTACCACACACACTGTTGAACCTTTTGAGGGGGTCCCATTAAGAGAGTTCATAGGTCAGAATTGCGACCTTGTGTAAAACCAGTCCCCAAACCCAGAACTAAACTGAGAGTACAGACCAGTACACAGCCTGTAGTTGAGGAAATGCCAGAATCACTCGGTCCTGAATTTGTTGTTGTTGAGGAAGTCTCTCCTCCCCAGCTTGTGCCAGCAACTCATGTACCAGACATGGTGGATTTACCTGTGGCAGAATCTGCAGATGAGGTTGACAGTGAAGGACATGGGGTAGGTCATACAGATGTGAGAAATTGTGACACAGGAACAGAAGGTGTAAATGATGATGTGCATCCAGAACTTAGTGAAAGTGACTTGTCCACCACAACAAGTAGGGACAGACAAACACTACACATGGGTGGTAGAATAAGAAGTAGGGCTGATGCACCTACACCTGCCATTAGGAAAAGCAAGCGGGCAACCGCAGGGGCGCATCCAAACCCCTTCCACCTGCCAAAGTCAGCCTGTTATGCTGTCATGGTCAGCACAGACATGGTCTCCCAGGTTTTGACAAGCCTGGGTACTGCTCTTTTTGAGAAGGCATTACAGGGAGCATTTGAGTCAGTTCATGTTTTGTAGTCACCGAGGACGTTGACTATTTGCAGGGGAGTATGTAACCGGGTGGTAAATGAGATTTCCCACTTAGGTTAAAAGTAGTTCTCATGGTTCATAAATGTCAATATGTGCGTTTTTGTTCTTTTATTTTGTGTGTAACATCCTCTAAATGTGAGGAGTTAGAGTGTAAGTGCATTGGCACAGGGTATGCTGTTGTTGCAGATTATGGTCACAAGGCGGCAGTATTGAGTAATGTTATTGTTACCGCGCCAGGTGCATCATGGTCTCTCTTCCTGTTTTACGTGTGAAAAAAGTGGAGATAGTTAGCGTGGAGAGCAGTGTCGTGGGCTGTCGTATGAAGTAGTAGGTAACTGGACATATTTCTTGTAAAATATCCATGTATAAACATGTCAAAAACATTATTGATCGATATTTGAGTAAGATGGTTTGTTTTATGCACTGTTTGGGTTTGTGTCCTGCCGTTTTGAGCGCGTGTCCACGACAACCGTGTTGCTAATGTAAATGCTAATGTCCGAGTGAATAAAATCACACTATGCTTGTACTTTGTCATTAGAGAAAGGCACTGGTTTACGTTTTATTTAACTCTGTTTAAAGGTGACTGAGTGAGTGGTTTAACTTGTGCAATTCCCGTGAAGGTCCACGTTGGTTTGCAGAAACAAGGGAGAATGTAAGTGTCCTGTAAAAAATGTATTGTACTCTCCTTGTAACCTTTTGTGTGCATGGTGATGGTTTTTGATGTAACATATGTATTTGACAGGATGTATTTTCTGTTGTCTGTCATTAGCCATATGCCACTGCCGTATTTTCAATATTTTCAATATTTTCAGTATTTTCAGTATTTTGTTTATTTTGTATTTTGGAAATTTTGTAGCCATTAATTTGGTGCAAAGCTGCCACAAACTGTGCCACTGATAAAAGTGACCTGTTCAAATTTATGTCAGCAATAAACTTGCAGCCAAACGAACCCCAGAAGTAAATGTGTCCTGTGTGGCATCTAATTCCACGGGCTACATCATATTTTCAGGAAAACACCTTTTTTATACACACATATTCTGGATTGTTATAATATAAATTCAAAAAGAAAAGACCTGAGACATTTTGGTTTTGACTAATGACTGAATATAGTATGTTACAGAAATGACGGTATCTCAAAAACTACAAGGAGCTACATCAAATGCTTGCTACAATTGGATTCATAACAACTTCAATGTCAGTAATATGTGCTGTGATCCAGTGTAAATCTGATATTAACATGTGTCTTAACATAATTAACATGTCAAATCAATGTTAAACTTAAGGCATGATAATAACATGTAGTCAAAACATCTGATTTTGTCTTGACAGTCTCCACAGCAGATTTTTTGTCTTTCCTTTCTTTCCTTACTAAATATAGTCATTAGTCATTAGTGGGTTAAACAGATCACAATCATGGTGGAAAGAAGACAATCAAAGTTTTTCCTTTTCAAGTTGAAGAAATCCATCTTGTTCAAATCCATGTGCATTTTCATGTCCTCAAAGATTACCCTGCACTCTTTCATCCGGCTGCATTCATTCTTGCTCTGATGCTGTTAAGCATGAGGTTCACCACATCTGTCAAAAAGCAGCATGTCCAACTGTCTCTTTCAGTCATCTTCCTTTAACGATTCAATTTGTTGTGGACTGACAGCATTCAGACACAGCCGGAGTGATGAATGGCCTGCTATGCTTCCAGTTTACCAGATTACCTTCATATTTCTGTGCAGAAACAGATAGTCATATAGGCTTCTTATCATCAGGTTATAGGGGAAGAAAATACTAC